GGCACCTTCTGGCTAACCCCTGTTGGATATTAACTTTAACAATTTGATTGAACAGTTGAGCACCTACCGTTTTCGGCCAGGAGGCACAAGATCCAGACTCCGGTTGAATGCTCCAACTCGGCCGCGCTAAAGTGAAGAGAAACAAAACAAATTTCGTTTTTGCGCCTTTTTGCACTGAAATCAAAGCATGGACACTTCAGAGGGTCAGTAGGAGATCTGTCTGATAAAGGCACCAGAAAATTCCAGTTATATACATTTAAAAATTGGTAAGTAGAATAGTAAGCCCACTTCCTCATAATACATGGAAGCGGCAAGAAATTCAATGAATCATTTAAGTCTCACTGTGGTATTAAGTTAAGCAAAAATTGAATGTAAGCAGGTTAGTACAACGTTAAAAGATGGGATACTGGCGATTCGATGATCACACAGATCTGAAAACTCGAAAAAGAACAAAATAAAAGGAGGACGCTTGAAGGGATAAGCAGGCAAACGTACGCCAGACTGGGCTGAATTCTCCTGAGTCTTCTGGTATTCTCGCAGCCTGAAGTAAAAAAGGATTTCAACAAGGATACAGCAAGCCTTCAGAAGGGTTATTCACGATCAATGTGAAATAGGCTGCAACGGCTAGAAGTCTGCTTCAATTGCACCATGCCAAAGTAAGTTGCAGAGGGGATGAGCATAAATCCCAAAGAGGTCTCGGCTTCACAACCTGTCGTATAAAACATTTCATAAGGTACTTTACGAAATATTGTTGATTAGGATACTGTGATACATATCTAGGTGTTAAGGAAAACTAACAACGTCAGCCTGGTGTGTAGGCATGACTATATAACTGTAAACAGAAAATATTTCAGCTCATCAAAACTGCCAATTAATAATCTTAACTGGGAGGGTTCTCATGTTTCCCTAAAGTCCTAAATCTAAGCTGAATCTTTTAGGAAATCTAGAGCGCTGAAGTCAACTCTAGCTGTTAATGCAATTTGGCTGGTAAGTACGAGGAGCTGGCCGCCCTATCGCAAATGGCCAGACATCGAAGAACGAGCAAATCTTCCATTTCGAGGGCATTCGAAAAGCATAGGATGTCGCAAAAAGTATACACCGTTTAATTACTGACAGTATACTTACCTTGTTTTTAATTCGCAGACTAATAACGGTTGTCAAACTCGGATAAAGCAGTCCTACACGACCAATTTGACCTCGGTGAGATCTAACTAAACAGGTGGACTTGGCGAAGGGATTTCATAGAATATGTCTTTAGTTCATCAGACTGCACAGCTCTAGAGTGCTTTACGAAAACACTTTTTAGACAAAGTCTACGTACCAAAACCGGGAAAACGGTCGCTGAATTGGCAGCAAGCACAGAACAAGAATTTACTCCACTACCGCTGTTTGCGATTTCCCTGCTTCGCGTTATCAATAAGGTCTGGACCAGAATGGACAGTCTTTTAACAACAGGCGCGAATAAAAGAAGTAAGCAATTCCTAAAGTATACTTCAAAATGTATTTTAATCAACACTGGCTTTATAATAATTTAAAGTAGATACTATACTTTGAGACCTTCCCTCACTCCAACCCCTCATTCCGGAAGTGTACAGGTGATCAGATCAAGCGTAGTCCGGTTCAGCTCGGGCGGCCGATTCGATAATCAACCAACATTTGAAGCACTTTTCGCTGTTGTCACAGACACTAACAGCCAACAACTGTCTGCTTCTACGGCGCTTGAGCGTAGTCATCGCTTTCGTCCATAATTGTTGGTGCTGATTTATATAATACCCTTTCACAACTGTTCGATATTCATGTCATTTGACTATCCTAAATCCTGCCATCTGCCTGGCACTGATTTGATTGGACAAAAAGTGCTGACAATACTGGTCAAGTAGCCCTGGGCCACAACGGCCTGAAACGTAGGTTTCTCGATACATAAAATGACACAATCACCCGCTGGATTTGACAGACACGCAACATTAGCGGATTTTTTTAGCTCTATCTCTAAAAGCATTCCAGTCACCGATAATAAAAGCTGTTGAGAATGGTACAGAGGCATAGCACAAAGGCAGGCGCGCATATTCCCAGCGTTTTATTCATATTACAAAGGTAAGAAAGCATCAAAACGATTTGAGACCAAATTTATTACACTGACAAAACAGTTATTTAAGATATTCAAACAGCACTACAACATGTATTGGTTTCACTCCCAATAAAAACGGTTCACACACAGCCAATTATCTTAATAGAATTTACCAAAAAGGTTAAATTAAAAGGGTTTGCCGCAGCACGGCTCAAGGGTCAAGTTGCTCGACCAGTTTCCCGCCATCCGAGCGTCGACCTTTAAATGTGCCACTAGTTGGAAACATTGGAGGGGTGATCGAA